CAATTCATTCATCTTGGGCCCGCCAGCCAGGCAATTGCAGGAAGGAACGTTCAGAGTCACCCCATCCCGCCATCAGTGCTGTCCGCTTCTCTTGTTTGCATCTACCGTCCGCGCTAGTGAGACCCGACAGGAAGGACTTGTTGTTCTTTGCTTGTGCATGCCGAAAGAACGACTCTGGGGAGCCCTGCACGTTGAATGCTTCCAGTCTTAAATCCGGACATCGAGCAGAAGCAAGAGGCAAAGAGAATGACTAGGCTGAATTGTTTACTGATACACGTGACAGTCTGCCAGAACGTGCCTCTCCCCCCTGGCAATGTTGAATATTGATATCGTGTAGGAATGCCGCCCTCAGACACCCTCCGCTACCACCAGTGGAGTGCCTCTCCGAAGCTTTGCAACCCTGAGCGGCAGGCCTAAAACGCAATCTTCTGGCTGGGATCGACCCGCTGGACAACACCAAATTGCTTCTTTCCGGCGTCGAAGACCTTGGTTGTGTCAGTCATCACGGCTAATAGCAGAGTCAGACAACTTACTGCATAGACGCATTTCAAAAAGGTATCGCCGTAAATGTTGACAGGCAATTTACCACGGCCCTGGATACCGCCGTAGACCATTTCGGGGTTGTTCTCGGCCGGGGCGAAAGCGATGTGCTCTTTCTCGATTACGATCTCCACATCACCAACGGCGAAAGCGACGTCAGGGATCTGGTCAGGAGGAGTATTGGAAGGGATCAACCAGCCTTGCTCGGTTTCATCGTATTTTGCGCCTGGGATGCCAGAGTATATTTCCTCAACTAGATCGTCGTCAATGATCATCAGGGTCGTGCCCGTGTCAGCAATGGCCGTGTTTCCTGGCAACGCGATTTTCTTGCCGTTGATGATGACGGATTCCGACGCAAACTCCCAAAATCCGTTGGTGTCATTGATCGGTGTGTAGGAGATCTCTCTACCAGTCGCATTGACCACGTCACTGTCAATGTCTCCAAAGGTGAAGAATGATTCGCCATGGTCGGGGTCTTTGGCGTCCTTGTAAGAACCCATGTAGCAGGTGAAAATCTCTTGGTCGTCAGGGATATCATCCTGGGCAATCATGTTGTCGAGCGGTGTCTTGACCGGGTTGGGGGTGACGGTGTTGATGTTGCCGAATGCCAGGCCCAGAATGCCCTGGGAGGCAGTCTGGGTAGTGAGAGATGCTGAGATTCGGTTGGCAATCTCGACAGCTTGACCTTGGATCGTGATGTCGCCAACCTTGACAATGTCTGTAACCACTGTTCCCGAAGCTGACGAGCCATCCCCATATTGAATATGCCAAGTGCTCCCAGGCATGGGCTGCTGAGTGGATGACTTGCGGGGATCATAGAATGCTGCGCCAGACTCGGCTCCTCTCTTCTTGATCTCGTCAGGCAGATGGGAGGACCAGACCTGGGGCGGTTTAGTTCAACAGTGTCATAGAAGGCGGGGAAGAAAGACATACCCAGAAGTCAGCAGACCCAGAATCGAAGGTCTTTTCAGGTGTCAGTCCAAAGCGCCCATGATTGATTGATTTCTTGACGCACCACCTCAAGTTGCTGGCCAGGAGTGCCAATAGCGACGGGACAAGTATAGTAGACGTCATTTTGTTGGTCTTCGGCGGTGCTTCGTCCAGTAGATCAGCCAACTGTAGCAGATAGAGAGAGGGTTGGGCTTACACTTCAGTGGAGGAACCATCTTCCTGACGTTTCATAAGGCGATGCTTCTTGTCACGATGATACCGGCCTGGTCTGACTGGAGTAATGTTATACTTGTTGTACAGCCAGACGAGGGACTTGGTGCCATTGGCCTTGTAGTCCCCATTGCGGCGGACGGGAACACGAGTGACATTGGAGAGACCCATGGTGGCGACAAGCAAGAGGTGCAAGACGACGACACTGCAGCAGAGCGATCAGATATCAGAGGTCAATTGACAGTATAGAATGAAGCGAATGAATGGGAATGAAGTGTTGAATGAGCAGATGGAAAAAGGGGAATTGGGAGATGAGAGAAAAAGGGCAAAGAAGAGATGGACGGGAAGATGAGGCCACGCAGACCGGTCCTAGAAGGCGACCAGAACAGCAGGTGCGTCTTGTCTTTACAGACCTGGAGGAAGGCGCTCCAGGGACTTACTGCAACAGCAACGGCAACGGCATCGTGATGGGCAGTTGCAACCGCTGCTCAATGGGATATCCGTGTTTCGTGAGTGTCGCTGGGATAACTTCATAGCCCTGGGGTCGGTCGAGTTGTCAAAGAGAGGAATGTCGAAGGATGGTGTTAGAGAGTGACATGGAGGCACTGACCTGCGTGCTAGATATGAGATATAGACAGATCAGAGCGAGAGGACTTGGTGGTTGAATTGCCTCGCCATCTTCGTTTGTTTGTCCTCGGCTTTTGTCCTACACAAATCCCGCCCAAGCTTCATTCTGTGCCTCCCAACAGTTCAGTTCAAGTTTCCATCTGGCTCCGTGAGAGGGCAACCACTTCTGTAGCTCGGCTCTCTAGTCTGTTGTCCAACTGGATGGAATGCATGCTCCTACACCTCCCAAAACCTATACCTTTTCAATGAGTCTGATCGGACTCATATGGCTGCTGAGCATTGAGCTTTTCGCTCGCTCTCATCGAGTGCCAAGATGAAGTGCACGGTCACCTACAGGACGCCCAGATCCGTGAATTGTCATAGTTGATTCACCCAGAGTCTGTCGAGTCACATTGGATACGCTGTGGCAAACATACACGGCACCGATCACAGAACCTACCACTTAGCCACAGAGTATCGGCGTGTTCTGTACATGACCGTATTCGGGCAACGTAGGGCGATGTAAGGTCTCAGATCAGTAGCAGCGCAGGAGAAGTGTCCACCCGACGTTACGGATGAGAATCGTGTCGCTCAGGGGAAACAAAAGGGCAGGAAAGGATGTTATATAAGAGACAAGCAGGCGTCTAGCAGGTGGAACCCGAGCCAAAACGAAAGCAACTTTGATTCGTGATTAGGTAATACATACGATGCGCATTGCTGCTTGTCCAAAAAATTTCCCTGTGCCGGCAAAAAACGAGACTTTCGAGACACACGGCCTCTCTTTGCCTCTCCTACACCACATCTTCGGTCCAAGCAGCAAGAGCCGCAATGGCTGCTGATGTCCAGCCAATTGCTCAGGTCAAATTACCTGCTCGACCCTCGTCCCTGACCCCAGAGCAGACATACTGGCGGTCGTTCAAGTCTCCTCTGAACATTGCCTCTCCCACAAAGCACGCCGTAACACACATTTCCCAGCCGCAGCCAAATTCTCCAGCCCAAAGCCCTCCCGACTTCTTTGTTGTCACGACCGGGGCCCGCGTGCAGCTATACTCTCACAAGACCCGGAAACTCCTCAAGACCATCACCCGATTTGACGATATTGCCTACAGCGGCGAAGCCCGATACGATGGACGAGTCCTTGCAGCAGGCGATGAGACTGGTGCCATCCAGGTGTTTGATGTCAACTCAAGAGCTATATTAAAGACCTGGAAAGAGCAGAAACAACCGGTACACACGGTGAGATGGAGTCCTAAGGAGACCACCGCGTTGATGAGCTGCGGAGACGACAGAACCGTCAGACTTTGGGATCTTCCAAGCGAGTCCAGCGTGGAGACATTCCGCGGCCACCAAGACTACGTCCGAACTGGCTCTTTTCTCCTGGGCCAGTCGAGTAATCTGATTGTCTCGGGTAGCTATGATCAGACTGTCAGGCTCTGGGACCCTCGTACACCAAATGCCGCGGTCATGACCTTCAAACATATCGCTGCGGTAGAAGATGTCTTATGCATGCCATCAGGGGCAACCATCTTGGCATCGGCTGAGAACCAGATTGCGGTATTGGATATTGTGGCGGCAAGGCCGTTGCAGGTGATCAGGAATCACCAAAAGACCGTCACATCATTATGCCTGGCGTCCAATGGATCAAGGGTGGTTAGTGGTGGGCTCGACGGCCATCTCAAAGTCTTTGAAACCACGGGATGGAACGTCGTCGCCGGTTCCAAATACCCGGCTGGGATCCTTGCTCTATCTGTTATTGCAGCCGGAAATCCCCGAGAAGACCAGCATGTTGTAGTGGGAATGTCTACCGGCCAGCTCAGCATCAGAACGCGCCTCTCAGGGGAGCAGAAAGTGAAAGAGCGAGAAAGACAAAAACAAATGGAAGCGTTGATTGCAGGGACTATCGAAGAATATGACAAGAAGAAGGCGAAAAAGCGTCCGAAGGGGTTCGAAAAGCGGCTTAGAGGACGTGACTACGCTGGCGAAGACGCTGACATCATTGTGGATGGAAATGTGCGACCGAAACAGAAGAAGCTGGCTTTGTGGGAAAAAGAACTGCACAAAGGCAGATATCGCGAGGCTTTGGATATTGCGCTGAAAGGCGCAGACAGGCTGACAATAGTCACCTTGCTTAACACCCTCCGCTATCGATCTGCACTGCGTGCCGCTCTCGAAGACCGCGCCGAATCAGACCTGCAGCCCATCATGCACTGGATATGGAGGAACATCTCCAACACAGCATTTGTTTCCTTGTGCGTGGAAGTTGCCCTGAACATCATGGACCTGTATTCGAAGCACTCGTTCGAAAGCGAGGACCTTGCAAAGCACCTGAAGAGGTTGCGCGACCGAGTCCACGAAGAGACCGATCGGGCACAGCAAGCGGGAATAACAAGAGGGATGTTGGAGCTATTGACTTCACAGCACACCGGCTGAGCATAAGTCAGCCATCATATACCCAGGAACTGATCGAAACCAGCATCAATTCAGGGAGTTTTGACCACAGTAAACAACTTCCCCCTATGGTCTGAGCACCAATTTATACCCTCGGTCCAAAGTTCCACCGAAAATTGCCGTGGTTATCAATTGCATCATCCGAGACGTGGGGCTTATATGACACAAGGACTTCCGTGATAAATCCTTGCACTTGTGTCATTCTTCTACCGATCGCGGGAGGCGCAATCCCAAAATTTGTCAACATGGCTCCCAAGACAATACGATGGGGCATCTTGGGCAAGTGGAGCTGCACTCCGATGCAAAGGGCCGCCAGCTAACAGTGGTTCAGCTACCGGAGGCATCGCCATAACATTCACCAAAGACCTTCTGGTCGATCCCGCAACTCGCGGCGTGCATGATATCCGACACACCGTCGTTGCGGCGGCTAGCTCTTCTAGCGCTTCCCGCGCGCAAGAGTTTCTGAACGAGGTTAAGGCCCCCTCCACCGCTAAGGCGTATGGCTCATACGCCAGCCTCGTGCAAGACCCGGACATCGATATCGTCTACATTGCCACACCTCATTCCCACCACTATCAGAATGCAATGCTCTGCCTCGAAGCCGGAAAGAACGTCCTCTGCGAGAAGGCCTTCACCGTCAATGCTGCCCAGGCAAAGAAACTCGTGCAAACGGCGCGGGAGAAAAACCTCTTTCTGATGGAGGCAGTGTGGACACGCTATTTCCCCCTTTCTGTCCATGTACGCGAGGCAATCACCTCCGGGAAATTGGGTCATGTAGTCAGAGTGTTCGCCGACAATTCCCGAGCCGCGGACCCGGAGAAGGTCTGGCCCGACGCCAAACATAGGATGGTCAATCCTGAATTAGCGGGTGGCGCTCTTTTGGACCTGGGAATCTACAGCCTGACCTGGGTTTTTCAGACTTTGTACACCACCCAAGCACCGGAAAGCCGCAAACCGCCAAAGGTGGTTTCGAGCATGGTTAAATATCCGCCGACAGGTGTCGACGAGACCACCACCATCTTGCTCACGTTCCCTCGCGACCCCGAGCAAGGAGGCGACATGCACGCTGTTGCAACGACGGGTATGCGCACCTCAAGCAACACCGATGGAAAAGGCACGTCTGGTCCTGCGATCCGGATTCAAGGCACAAAGGGAGAAATGCAAGTCTGGCCACCAGCATTCCGACCAACACGGACGAAACTGATACTTATGGATGGCACGACCGAGGACAAGGATTGGCCGCAGCCAGGTCCAGGCAAAGGAAGCGGGTGGTTCAATGGGTTTGGAAATACCATGAATGCAGAGGGCGAGGGTCACGGAATGTTCTGGGAGGCGGATGAAGCGGGGAGGGCCATTGTGGAGGGACGCAAAGAGGGCAAATATGAAAGCTTGGACGAGAGCGTGTTGATTATGGAGGTAATGGACGAGGTCAGACAGCAGCATGACTTTAGGTATCCAGAGAAGATTGAGACTATTGAGAGAGTTGATCTCTGAAATAAGATGAGCAATTCAAAATAAGCAATTCAAAATAAGCAATTCAAAATAATCTCAACTGGGAGTGAGAAGAGTATCAAGAAGCCACGTCGAGCCATTGCAGTGACATTCTCGACATCTCGGACTAGCCTAACGTGGCATGGCCCAGCCTAGTGCCAATAGTCTTGGCATATCCGCGATCGACGTCACCACCAAAACATTGGGAATCCACATGATTGGCTACCGCTGCAGCCTGTGTGGTGCGACAGTGAAGTCGAATTGACAGCCAGCACTGAGCACAAAGCTGTGGTTTGATCGGGGTGCAGCCTTTGAAAAGGAATTCATTTCTCCCGTAATGAACGGGAGACGACTTTTTGTCTGTCGATTACGAAGTATTATTATGAAAAACCCTGTCGCTTACTGTCGACAAGCTTCCGGCTCGCGAATTCCCAGCCTTCTGCATAACTGAACACGTAAATTCCGTGGCTGGCGCCTTGTCCGCTTTCAAGTCTCAATGCCCTCTTCGACAACAAACTCAATCCTGCTCTTCACTCAGTCCCATTTCGGAAGCTTCGCTCGACAAATCACCTGGGGGGGATTTGAGTAGCTCCCTCCCTTAAAACCTATATCGTCTTCCTCAACCCGGTAGCGGCACCATGCGGCCTTGACGGACCGGGACCACCATCTCCGCCTCGAATGTTGCAGCCTTCAAAGCAACTCCAACACTTTAGAAGACACGCCGCAGGCCGGCAATTACCCCTCTTTATCCTTTCAACATGACGTCCAGAACGAGAGCCCTCAATGCTGCCCATGCTGCTGGGATTTTTGCGGACATGACTCTCGACGGACCCGAGATTGGCACTCTCGTCGCCGTTGTTGACAGGGCTAAAAACCTCCCGAATCGGAAGACCATGGGCAAGCAAGATCCCTATTGTGCCATGAGGCTCGGTAAGGAAGCCAAAAAGACGGAAACGGACAAAAGAGGCGGACAGACACCGAGATGGTAAGGTGATTCCGAGAAGGCGGCGAGCTTCTTGCTAACAGGCACTAGGGACCAAGAACTGCGATTCACCGTCCACGACTCCCCCGACTATTACAAATTGAAATGCTCCGTTTTCAATGACGACAAGAAGACCGACCTCATCGGCGAAGCCTGGATCGATCTACAAGAAGTCATCATTCCGGGTGGCGGACAGAGTGATCAGTGGCGCCAACTGAACTTCAAAGGCAAATATGCAGGAGATATCCGGATTGAATTGACATACTACGATGCAAGACCAAAACCAGAGCCTCTGGCAGAGAAACAAAAGCAAAGAGACAAATCTCAATCGATAACCAGTGACACCCCGAGCACACCCTCTGGTTCTCGTCAGCTCGGTCCTCGTGAGATTAAGAGAAGGCCCCTGCCGCCTGGTCCTGGTGGACAGCCCTCACCAGTCTCGACCGCTCAGGCGACTGAGCGATGGGCCCAGGAAGAGTCCCCGGAGGCATTTCTAGGCCACGGATATACAAACAGCAACCCTCCACCGCGCCCACCAAAACAAAAGTTCATCCCCGAGACTCCCGATGACGTTGGATATGATCTCAATCCTCGATTTGGGCCCGACTCCTATGAGCCGCCTCAGAATTCTGGTCCATCTTACCATCAAAGACAAGCCTCTAGCAACTTCCATGATAACTACCACGATCCTGTCGCGGTATATGAGGAGCAAGAATCATATGCGATGGATTCGTACCAGCAACCAGCACTTCTACCACAACCGCAACAATCACAACCTGTGCCTGGGCCACCGCCACCGGAGCATCATTCCTCATCGGCGCCGCACTCGCCATACAACATGCCAGACCAGCCACTATATCATTCCTCTCCTCCCCGAATGACACCACAGGCCACTCCTCCGCCAGCTCTGCAAAGTCAACACTGGAACAGCAGAACCAGCACATCTCCAACCAAGTATGTTGCCTACAGGGACAGTCCGCTACGCCAATCTATAAGTCAACATGATATGCTTGAAGCGACACCGACCTATTCCGATCCACAGTTTGACGAAGAAGAATCACCTCCACCACCACCTCCCGCTCATCGAGGTCAGATGACGAGGGTGCCAGGACCTTCGCCGGCTTATCGAGACCCATATGGAGATCCTTCGCCTCGTACGCCGGTGAAATTCAACACGGTTGAAGACAGAAGTCCTCTTCAGAGGTTAGAGTGTGATTATGATCCATTCCAAGCAACTCCACCGGCCCAAGATATACAACGCCAACATGCACCGCCGCAGTCTTATGAACCAAGCCCACCAATGTCAGTTGACCATGATAGATATCCCATGTTCCCATCTGAGAGGCGGAAATCGTACCACAATGATCTGAATCAGTTTCAGCCAATATGTTCTGAAAACGACGTGCCACCTCCTGAACAGATTTGCAATGGCAATCTTGTTCAACAATGGGATAGAGAGAGCAGTCGGGAGAATTTCAGGCATTCTACAGGTAATGAACCTCTTCAGCGGGCGCAGACATTCGACAACTTTGAACTGCACGACGAGAGGCACGTCCGAAGATCTGCGCCGATCGTTGTCCGACCCCGTGCAATCAGTCCCAATTCTAATCACACTATTCCACGGAAGTCGATCACCCCTACATTCCCAACGCCCGACGATCGCAACCAGATGTCCAGTGTCCCATTTGGACCGGGCTCATACGATGTGTTGAACCCCGCGACGAATCCACCACCCGCTGACGGTGCGTATAACTCATCAGAAGATGTACTAGAGGCTGCTCGACAGAAAGAGGTTGACAAGCTAAGAGATCAAGGCCCAATCATCGGAAACGATGGCAGGGTAATTGATCCATCTGACCATCTTCCGTCGGATACCTGGGCGCCGGAGCCTGAAAGAAAACAACGGAAACCAGAGCATGTCATTAGGATTCGCACTAGAGAAGAAGCACGCACACATAATCGAGTAGGATCGTCCCCAGTCTCTACCCGACCACATTCGGTTGCGACATCGCCTTATCAACTCCCTCCAAGCGCCCCAGCATCTTCTCCATACCAGGCGTCAACCCCTCCAGTCATGGCTCCAGTTTCACCGAAAATCGAATCACCGAGCGGCCGGAACAGGCTGAAGAAACAGATGCCGAACCGACCTCTCCCGACTCAACCATATGCGCATCCTCAAACAAGTCCAGGTGTGATGAACGGCTCATCAACTGACCGGCCTAGTCCCTCAAACCAACGATATACGATCCATTCTTCTCCTGGAGGAGGACCACCTCAGCGGCCTTCACTGTCGGAATACCAAGTTCCGTCTGTGAACAGTTACAGCCCGCGTGGTGGATATGGACCGCCACCCGGACCTCAATACCAGTTGGAATATTCACCAACACCGGCAAATCCGCCCATCGAAAGGCCTCTGCCGGAAAATCCGAGTTACAAAGGAGGCCCATCGTACGAAGCAGACAATCCGCTTGCTCTTGAGTTGAGCAGAATTGACATAGGACCATCGAGGATGCCCAGGACGGCATTACGGCCCCAGAAAGCATACGGCGCATATTAGCAATATGACACGTGGGAAGGTGGGTTTTTGCAGGCATTGTGAGTGTATGTCTGGATTAGATCTCTAGGGCGGGCACGATATAAGGCCTCAGCTCGTAATCAGGGCTCGATCGGCTCAAAATCGGCTGGGGGAATAATAGGATTGAAATGTACTTTGGCTTCATGCCACGGCGGGTCGGATAAGAACAAAATACCAAGAGGGCAGAGTACACGGAACGACATTAACTATTATTCGTTTTCATGTCCAGCGGTGCTTGCACTATGACTTTCGTCACCCTTGCTTCTTCATGCGGATCCCAACCGGCCCTTTGACATCTCCACACGCGCCTGTCTTTCTCGCCAATACGTGGAGGCCGAGGGCACAACTCTTCCAGGGAGCGCAAGACCCTCGGTCAATCGGAGGGAAGGGAGAGGGAGATGGTGCTGGACGGCATACAATCGCATCGGGGCGGAGTTCACACCATTCCCATTTCTTGCCCCTTGCCAGCCTCTTGATCTCGTCGACCTGAACGTAGTAGAAGATCTTGTCTCCCCAAGGCGATGGCACGCGCGGAGCTGATTCCTTTAACGGAATCTCAATCTTGATGTGTTCAATGAATTTGAGGCCGTAATGCTGCGACGCGGGGTCAGTCTGCGCGCGCATAACGGAGAGGCTTGCGGACGAATACAAGGACAACAAAGCGTAAACTTCCCCCGTCTGTAGAGTGAAGAAGGAATATTTGGGACACACTTTCTCCAATGCCTGGATAGAATTGGAGACGAGAGCCACGTTCGCCTTGATCAGCCTCTCATGGCTCTTTCCATGTGCAGTGTAGGACGTGACATAGACGGGTCCGACATCGCCAACGTTGTAGACGACGCTTAGCCTTGTGACTATCTCATCAACTGGGAGACCCAAGTCGAAGCCACTGTAAAGCTCTACTCGGTGGTAGTCGCCCTTGGGCACCATGGCCGTTTCCTTGCTCAGACGCCGGTATGTAAGCCCAATGATGAGCTTGAAGGTCGTTGGCGAAGGGTAGGTGAGCAACTCGTCCAAAAACCCCTTACATATTTCGGGCTCTTGTCTCTGCCTCGGACTTGAGAGGAAAATTTGACACGCGAGACACAATAGCCTCTGGTTCTTGTAGAGTTTCAGCCTGCTCAACGTCTTCCACATATAGTAGTCCTTTGGCCAGACCTCTCGTCTCAAAGTGCTCGATCAGATCATGTACCTCTCGTTTGTCGCCGTTGACCGAAGTAAATTGTACTACAGCCCATCCACTTCGTCAATGCATATACAGCCGCACGGCTTGCTCCGCCACCACCAATAAAAAGGCCTGGCCTTCCCCGTAGGTTGACACTCGCGGTGTTGCAAATGAAATCCGTTCTCGGACAGTTGCCGGCTCAGGATTCCACCATGGTTGGCCATCAATGAGGTGAGCGGCCCCAAAGTGCATTTCGCCAGAAAAGGCAATGCATCAAGGAGCCTCAGGGGTGTCAGCAATGAGGCTTCGGCTCAATTGATACATTTCTGATCACATATAATAATCCCCCTGCTCAACGCCCTGTCAGGACTCAGAATACTTGCGGTAATCTTGTCCCTACTTCATTCTGGTATTCAATGCTCAAATGAAGCGGAAACCATCTTCCATGACAGTTGGCTTCATGTCTAGCAGGAGAGATGCCTCACAATACTGTGTTGCCAGTAGGGGTTGCATCATATAATTGGGTGGGCTCTGGGCTCGGGGCCTCAGGGGGAAGTTGGCTGAACCAAGTCCAAGCCCTGTACCAATAGTCGAACCTTCGCGACTCGACAAGAGATGCCCACTGCTGTCTTCTTCAACTGCCAGGCTTAGGTGCTCCATTGCCCAAAAGACCTTCATTTGGTGAGTAAATCTAGGACCGGACAGTTTCCAAAAATTTCGTGGCACTGACGGATTCTGGCAACCCCTAGATTAACAAACACGTTCCTCCTCCTCCTCTGTCAAACGAGGTCGCAGGTAGCTGTCTGATCGACGACACTTTGCGGCTCGGACGTTCATTGTTATTAAACGGGTTGTAGCAAAGGAGATATTCAGATCAAGGAGCCATTATCCCAAGGCCATGAATTTGCCGGTGAAGTCGTGGCTGTCGGCGAAAATGTATCGACTCTGAAAGTTGGGAACAGAGTAGCCCGCGAGATTGGAATGCCGTGCGATGACCGTGAAGATCGCGAGAACGGCCGGTATAACGTCTGTGCAAAGATGAGTTCAAGGAGCAGCGCCCCTTCCATTCCACACTTCCAGGGCACACTGCAGACGAGACTGAACCATCCGGCGAAGTGGGTGCCATAAGTGAGTATCCAACAATCAACAACATCTGTGATTGCAATTGATTAACTTGCAAGGCTGCCGGACTCAATATCCTATGATCAGGGGACGCTGTTGGGAGCCGCTGACTGTAGCAGTTCCCACCGTAAGAAAGGCAGGCCTTGGGCAATCATATCTTGTCCTTGGAGCACGCGCGTGCGGCTAGGTGTATTAGTATCACGATGGCAGACATCGCCGAGAGCCGACTCCAGTTCGCCCTCAACCAAGGCTTTGCCACTGTGGTGTCGCTTATGTCTCTAAGTCAAGGACAGACTCTTGAGGACGGCCTGGGCTTTGCGAGAGAATCCGCGGCTGAGTTCTGTAAAGTGGGACAACAGACTGGGGTCGAGACGACTCAGAAATTTGAAGGCACACTTGAATGCACAGGCGTCGAGGCCAGTGCGCAAGCAGTACGTGTAAGTCTCTCTTCCAAGAACAATGATGTCCCGGACGCCCTTGACTGACGCCCCAACGGGTAGGCCACTCGAGCGGCTAGCAAGGCGAATCTCGTTGACATGGGCCTGCCAGTCCAGACGTTACCCGTCGCAGCAGCAATACACGGTGAAATTAATCTGGTTGGCATTTGTCGATATGCGAACGCTATCCCGCGAACATCGATATCATTCGCAAGGCAGGTCAGGTTGGAACGGGAATACAAGATCTATCAAGCATCATCACACACCGATTGAAGGTCTGGAGTCCCTAATGCATTCGAGCTTGCAGCAAAGTCCACTGATGCGGATGGGAACACTTGTCGCCAAGGGTATTGTCCATAACTCGTAGCGCGACCTCTTTGAAGAGGTTTTGCGATGACCCGCTGTATCGTACGGTTTGGAGCCCTATTTTCTCACTCGGCGCTAAATGAAGCCTTCCTCTGGATCATGCACAAGCGTCCCGCTGGTCAAAGTTTAGTGCTCGCTGAAGTTCAACGGGCACATCTGCGGAATATGGGTTCCGGCATCTCAGAAACAGACGACGAGTGCTGAATGCTACATGCAAGGCGCAGAGTATCAATCAAGCATCGATGACCACCCTTACCCCCTATTACTTGTGATTTGACGCCCTCTCGCTGGCGATGATTTAGAACATACGACGGTTTCGAGCTGATGTTTGAAGAATGGTCAGTCTCGCTGGATGAGCACAATATTGCCCGCCATGGCTATGTACTTCACATCTGAGCCTAAAAGGGATCAGTTAAACCTTTCGTTTTGCTATCTGGAGGTAAAGCCCTTGCCACATCTTACCCGACCAACTTTCAGAGAAAGAAAGAGCCGAATAACGTGACATGGTTCCACGTTGAACGGAAAGACTGCTATGGTGACGGATGGAGCAGAGGCATCAGCCAGGCGATGGCCACTGCACCCGCTGAAATGACCTCGACATTCGCCATCTGTGAAGATGTCGGAAAGTATTGGGTCGCCAACAACATGCCGGAAAAGATCATTAATACCGCAAGCCTCGCGTCTTTCATCGGTAACGTCAGAATCGTGCGGTATGCTATGAGCCAAGGAGGCGTTGCACAACTCACCAAAGCTTTGAACAATGAATGGGCAGCGAAGGAAATCAATGTGAATGCCATTGCTCCGGGCCATGTCTTGCCCGTCTGCCACTTTGATTGCCTTGCCTCGCAGCTTACCGAACCTACCTGCATAGGTATGTGGCGACAGAGGTGAACATCGACACTGGATCGGACGACTCTGCCTATCTGCAAAGTCTGAATGAGAAAATTCCAGCGGGTCGATGGGGCACGCCAGAAGACTTCAAAGGCTCGTCGGTGTTTCTAACCAGCTCTGCAAGTGATTACATCCACGGGCAAATATTGCTGGTCAGTATCTGGGACTTGTTATTCATCGTGTATGACTGTATTCAAACAGGACGCTGTAGCTGGATGGGGGATTTATAGGTCGTTGACGGTGCTGCTACCGCTTGAGTCACATTCACAACAAGATCATAATTGATTTCGCACAGGCTATCGTAGAGGATAATCATCTTTGGGAGCGACTAGTTTCATCATACGCAATGCCTGAGTCTATCCATCATAAAAGCGCCGTTTGCAGACAGGGCTTATTTTGCACTTGTCGGCTGTGATACAAGAGCAAAATCTCGCCACTCGGGAACTATTGGCAAAGGACAGTCACTATAGAAGTACATCTCGCCCTACTAATATTATATATGTGTGCTCTGTTCATATACTATTACCTTTGTCTGGGGAGCAGCCCTGAGCTTTCCTGTCCAAGACCACTACCATGCCTACATCTCTCACACCTGGGCTACTGAAGACCCGCACAGCCTTGTAATTAAACCTTGAGCGAAGCTGAAATGCTCCTCGTCCTCGATGTCATCCTCGGGTTTGTTGGAGGAGGAGTTAGTAGTTACGTAAAAGTCACCGTCTTTTCCCACGACGTGAGTGCCAGCCGTAATAGGATCGTCGAAGACTTTCGCGACCTCCTCAAGGCTGAGGCCTTCCGTATCGAGGAAGAAGAGCCAGAGCCGGATGGCAATGGTGAATGTGAGCACCGTGAATACAATGTAGTATCGCTAGTGGATTGCTTTGAACGCCGACGACGTAGCTTGGAGGAATAATCAGAGTCCAGACTGGCGAGGAAGAGGCAGCTGATGGACAGGCTGGTGCCGACTGCTCGGAGACGAGTGGGGAAGATCTCAGACACGTCAATCGCGGTTGTGGCATCGAGAAAGCTGGCGTAGAAGAAAATGTGCATAAATAGGAATGCGATTGTCCCGGCCGCGGTTCCTGCGGTTTGTTCGTGGGCCGGAAGAGACTGCATTAATATCTCACAAATCAAGCCAAGGCCACCGAATCCAATAATTGGGTATTGTCAGCTGGAAGGATAACTGGATCTTGGTAGCGGTTTCAACGTACTCAATAAATTTACTCGGCCACCACGATCTACAAGGGTTGCAGTAATTGCATTGCCTAGGATAGACACCGTCACGTATCCGGCAGAAAGTAGAAAGGCCCGCCGAATTGTGTACCCGATACTCGAATACAGGGATACGGCGTAATCTGAAGTCAACTTTAGTGGACAGTTTCTTTCTTGCTGCTGTGAACTTACAATCAATAACCAAGGTGCTGGTGCATTGGCACCCGAATATAACGCCAAATCCGAGAGCTAGACGCTTGAGATTATGTGCTTTCGTGAAATTCTCCTCATAGGCCTTGAGACCAATGGCATTGGTCTCCACGGATTGTTCACGCATGGTGTTATATTCCCGATGTGCGAATTCACCGTCAGGATGTTGTGACTAGACATGGGTCTTCATCAACAGAGCAAGGGCCTTATACGGATCATCTCGCTGGAGGACTTCAATAGGTTGGCCAGTGATTGTAGATATAGAAAGCTAGAGGCTGCCATCTCTAGGAGACTCAGGAATCCTGTAAATTCCACGGCCCAGGATAGCAAGGAACACAACTTGTAAAGCCAAAGATAGTCTCCATTGAATATTTCCAGTCATTGTGTAGCAACCGTAGCCTGCCCAGGCTGCTAGAGGAGAACCGGCCCCAATAGCAACGCTTGTTGCTCTAGAGCGAGTGGCACACCTGCTCGGTGGAAAGAAACACTAGTTGTGAAACTCTCCTTTTGGCGATGTCAGGAGGGGCCGGAATAACACTTTCCAGGCGTTTGATGTGTAACGACTGACGATACCATAATATGAAAGACAGATTGCTTTTATCAAACTAGCCCCGAAATGTCTGAATCTGTTACCTCCGTCTCTTCGGGTCTGGCCTCACCGATTCTTGACCCTCGAGAGCACTGCGCTTCGGCTTTTCCGAGGCGACAAGCTTTGCCTGCCACTTCCTCTTAATATCCAGGAGAATCTCCAATGTCCTCGAAGCATTCCTGAAAGCCTTCGCCCAACTCTGCTAATGCTTTGCAGCAGGTGTCGAGATGCCGTTGGAGATTTAATCTGTCAGTTTCCCCCAAGTTGAGGGCTGAAGCCAACATCAGGATAATGGCCGCTGAAAAGACGATGCTTACCGCCTCGACGTTGACGAAACGCAGTAGATAGCTTGCCTTGTAAAGACAAAGCAGCATGGATATTGCAACAGCTGACCTATGCATACTGCTCGAGCATGCATATGCCGGATGTTGGAGTTTAGGTAGTCGAAGCTGCTGGCTTCGACATAAATGGGCGATGGATATAGATCCTGAATTGGTGGTATTGCATGCTAAGACTGATTAGCATAGCCTAAGGCGCATTGGGAGAGAGGCGACGTACTGCAATACCAAGATATGGGGCTGGTACTTCATATTACTGTCATGCTTGTCAAGAGTGACCTGGAGCGCTGGTGGCAGGCTCCACCGCCATAGATCTAATTTGGAAACAGTCTCGTCCGCAAGTGTCTGCAATATTTTGTCTGATACATCCAAACGTTCATACCGAGAATATTAGCGATTGTTGCATAGTAAAGTGGGAAGATGCTCACAAAACATGGCTAAGATCATCCATGACCTCGCAGAGCAGCACCCACTCGAGAGGAAGTAAACTGGTAGGGTCAGACGAATCAGTCGCTGGCATGGCCGCCTCTGGCACGTTCTCAAGCGTGCCGTAAGGTACCCATCGCTGGAATTCAGAGCTCGGATTGGCGGGTCGCTGCACTGATGGATTGTGGCTACTGATACGAGAAGGTTGTCTCCCCAGATGGAAGCCCTAGAGGATGCGGAGTCGTGAGCACAGAACTGTCGAAGTACATGGGGGGACATACTGATCAACTACAAAACTTCCCCAGATGCCATTTTCCGAGCCTCAGCCTCAGTGGGACTCATAAGACCTTTGGCCACATATGGCGTCATGTCGAGGTGCAGACCGACATCAAATGACAAACGGACAGACATCGGTATCAAAGATCGGTCACTGATGACCATTGATTGATCAGGAGGGGCGTACCACTGCAGAGCCATCCACGTACGTCATTTGTGGATGCCGCCTCGAAAGTACTCCAATGCTTGCACCGTTGTAACTCTGGGGCTGTCGAGCTCGACGTCTAACCAGAGTTTAGCGCGCTTTGCAAAGAACTCTGGCAAGGGGAGGGGGAAATTGTAGTGTCGACCCGTGTCGTAGAGAGCGCCAAAAGCACACCTTTGGTTGGGCTAGTATAGTGGTTGCACGGAAAGAGGAACATGAATTGCTTACATCGCGTTGATCAGCGTCTCTGACAAGTAGGAGCTGCGACCAGGACTGGCGCGGTGCATTCTCCTTGCTTGTCTGTACAGTTCCCGATCCACGACGTGGAATGTTGGATCCTGCCAGGCGAAGTATAGATTGGTTAAATGATCTTCCAAGGTGGCATTAAGGTGTTGGCCAAGTCCTGCAGCTTCCAATAATCTTTGACCATGGTTGCACGCAATAGTTGATTCGGCAGATTGAGTAAATGGTCCAGTATCATCACGTAGCGGAATGTTTGAGGGGGCCCCGAAATATCGAAGCTCGCCATCATCAGTTACTTGAAGGGTCCCATCCTTCCGGAAATCTCGCTGATAACGCGGTTAGAGCCTTCGTCTTCCGGCGCTAATCGCACGTCCAGATCTGTGCCTGAAATAGACTTGGGCGAAGTTGCAGGTCCCAGAGATTGATCAGTCCCAGACATGTCCATATCTGGGTAAGGAATTTGCAAGTCGGTCCAGCCGTATGTCATACCCAGTGACATGGTATTAAGCCCAGTGAAATCCGTAGTCCACTCGGGGAAGCTGATGTTGCTTTCCTGCAGCGCGGCCAATTGATCGTCCATGCCCGTGTAGCTGGTGAAAAGTTCACCAGCCTCTGGTGCAGATGCCTGTATCGGGCGGTAGCTATTCACCAGGGCAAGGTCAAGCATGAACTCCTAAGGGGCCCAAAGAGACACATTGTTCTGATACGGCGGTGGCTGAGAGTGCCTTTGCCGTGACTCTGGTGAAATGGATGCAGGTAGCGGGATTGTATCGCTAAGAAGCTTTTCCCGTCCAGCAGAGGCTTCTGGCTCTAATGTTTCGGGAGCCGCTTGTTCCTTTGGCGATGTGCCCGGCTGCTGTAAGAGTTCGATCAAGCGGTCTATCAATGCAGCTTCGTCGGCATTCAGTGGTAGAGGTTGTAAACCATGGGCGCGAATGAATTGCTCGAGCCCAGACAGCCGAGCTGAAAAGACTTGGATGGCTTTCCCGGACAGGTATCCTTAAAGTGACTGGCTGAATATTTGAAATTCGAACTCAGATGTGCATCCTCGACATACCTTCTTTTGTCTTCCCCTTGTGCATAGACACATCGTTTCTTCTTCTTTTTGCAATTGCCACAAACCGGATGAACGCCATCGCACTGTGCATCATGAACATCAATCTCCTTCGGATACTAAGGGAGGGCAGCCACTGCATACTCTAATTTTTCCGTCGCGACATGTAGTGCAAGCAGTCGACACGTACTTCCTTCTGCTTAACTTCGGCTGTTCGCCTCTGGGGGTAGACATCGTCTCAATTAAAATACAGAGTTGATACCACTATGAAGTTAGTTGAGATCAGTTGCGGAGGGAAGCTAAGGTGAGTTCACTAGCCAGGACGCAATGATCAGTTCAGAGGTCTCGGGCTCAAAGCACATTTATAGCTGGAATTCGAGGCTCCATTGTGCGGAAGGCCCTGTTTATGAGCATCAGATTGTTCTCGCCTCCCCCTTGATAGCTTTAGTCAGAGACATCCGGGCAGCTATGATAAATGTCTTGTAGGGTGCCCGATTAGAATGAGATCAAACGAGGCACTGTCGTGAATAAATCGGGGGCTATGGAAGGGAGTGGGCGGGGGCAGTGGATACGAACCCATGTATCTATCTCAGCGCTTATGTATTCTTCGGTATGGGTGGTGAACGGCCAATCCCTACCGCAACGAATACGAATGACATGACACTTGACCGGCGTCTTGTTACGGCTTTGCCTAAAATTCAACGTACACGCCGACAAATAACCACCACCCTCGGCCATTGTCTACTATGGCCGCTTCGAGGAGGGGCTGGGATGCTCGGGTATATAAGATCTATACTGGAGGCTACGGTGCAAATCAGATTGCGAGAAAGTCTGGTGCCGTTGGGCCGGGGCTGCTGTCACCCCAACCACTTGCTTGACAATTGTTCCAAATAAAACCACATCCATGGCCCTCCAAGGCGCCGCATGAACCATCACAATATCTATCTGCCTCTAGATGCAAATGATCTAGTCATGTGTCGTCGCTGAATGAAACGGCTTTGTGACTCGCTTATGAGCCTGCAGATCTACAGGCTGCTAGATGAGGGTCTTGTATGGCTTACAGCCCACAGATGATGGTTTGTTTGGAGATTCTAGAACAATGTCTAGTTTTCGAAGGGCCTTATCCCCTCTGTTATACAAATCTGTAAGCGTTGCCGCTCCCTTGCTCTCCTCGTCACCTCCGGCCAAGTCCGCGGTAGATTTCCGAGCCCTTCTCACTGCTCTATTCGATTCCTGTTCAGTTCCTTAATAACTGCTTTTGTTCGAAGCCGCACATCCAAAGGTTTCACATCAATAATCAGAGCATTGAGGGTTATCATACTGAAAGACTCATGAGCAACAACATAAACGACCTGGAAACGATTGGGGACGTTCAAGCGTACATACCAGAAACAACCCATCTATGTTGACCGGCTGATCACAGGCTCTGAGTGAACTAAGTTGATCTTTTTGAGTCGACAAGACCTGCGTCACTACCAAAAAAATTCGGTACCCTGTTCCATTACCGAGAAGACAATTGGCAGTGAGTTGGGGGAATTGTTCTTGATAGTTGTGAGCTGGATGTACGATTCCAGATACGAGTTCTTTCGCCTCTGTTCGTCTCTGTTGGCCTCTTTAAAGTATCACTGCTGTTTGACTCTGGCTTTAACAATATTTCTCCACACAATTCACCTTGTTCGGTGGTTCACACGTGACAGTGTTTCCCTAATGGTCGTTGCAGAAGCCATATTCCGGTGCCAACTTGTGATTCTCAGACATCAAGCGCTACTGCCCAAAGTCAGCGTAGAGACTGTAGAAAAAGAACGAAAACAAGAAGATCACGGCCTGCATTCTCCTAGTTACTGAGTTAAATGTACAGCATTGTCAACCATGCAAATATAATGAAGATCTGGTTGAGGGTGGAGATCAACCAAGGCGGAAGATGGACGAAATTATCCTCCTAATCAAGGGGCGCAAGGCTAGGATCTCCTGACAAGGCTGGGGTTCTCCTTTCCTCGCCGGAGAATTGTTGTCCCAGCCTCCAGACCTCAGCCTAGAAGCCCAAAATCCTGAGAGCTTCAACTTTTCTTGCAGCAACTTCCCAGGAGCTTTTAATCATCAGCACGAAACATCATCGCGAGCCACCATCTCTCTTCCCGCTGTAGCCATAACAGATGATCCTACTACCAGCATCTCATAATTCAAATATTTTGAGTCTTCTAAGGGCTTGTTTTGCCCTTCCCAACGACAATACCACGTCTACCATGATATTTCCCTGCCCACGAACATTCCATTGCTGAAACCAGTATCGCCTCCTGCCTCCAAACTCATAGCAATATGATGCTATTGAAATTGGTTTGCTCAGGGAAGGGGTCTTTGCTCGAATTCTCTTCCGTTAACGCGTTTCAGCTGGGCTGTTTTAGCTACAGTGAATTGGAGTTGACTCTCTCTCAAGCTTGGCTACCGTATCCCTATGGGCTTGCTTCTTGTTTCGATAACACGCCCTCTGGCCGAAGACTCGCACTCACAGCTGCCTCATCACTAATTTTACTTTGATCCTTTGTTCATCTACCCCTCAAACAGCTTCCGAGCCACGATGCTCAGTTCGGAAGGATCAACCAAGGAGCTCCATGCAAAATCCAGGGAACTGATATGCCTGCTCTTGTGCCTATCCCTTGTTGGACTGTCACCATATGCCGTGAGCATTCGGTACATGCAGACACGGCATTTTATTCAGCTCAGCACCCAGCGTCTTGTGCACGCGCTGCCCACATTCCACACCCTTGCTCGGGGCAAGTCGCTATACATTCTGACCATTCAGAACGAAATGATGCAGCCATGACGATACCAACAGGTACACAAGCCACATTATAGTCAATGCCAGCAAAGATTGCTGTCAAAGCTTTTATCCCTTTCTGAAGGGGAAAGACCTGTGAGGTATAAATTGGATGCCCCGCAGCTCGCTCAGCAGGTTCCATGCTCATCAACCTTGCTCTGCACACTCGCTTACTTGATCTCGAAGAGAAACCCTGAAACACCACAACCATGCTGCTCCTCCGACAGTCTTTCATGGTTCTTGCAACCGTGTTACCTTTCGCCCTGACCCAGGGGGACAGTGGAGTCACCGTTGCTACTCTAGAGCGGACTTTCACGGCGTTTGCGATCTCTCAACCATCGAGCGTGGTAACAACCCGCGTTACAAAATTCCTCGACATCACAACACTGACCACCACTTTGCGAAGCACCACAACGAGTCCACTACAATACACCGTGGTCATTCCTTATGTCTATCAGACGACCGTCGATGTTACGAGCACCTATAAGGCAACGTGGGTCCCTAATCTTCGGTGCCAGACGGTCACGCTAACCCAAGTTTCAGCACCGATATTATCACTATCACTTCCACAAGGACACAGTATGACGTAACGAATAGTACCTCAACCTCGTATACCAATGTTACCGCAAATGCAACCACCACACTTTTTACAGAAAGCGTCATCGCCGTATCCACACCAACAGGTTTTGTCCCGGTTGAAGAGTCTTCTGGGGATGAAAACTACAGTGGAACTATCAAGCGCCGTGACACAGACTCCGAAGGAGACGTTCTGTTTCCCCGACAGGCTATCGCTCCGCCTGATACCTCATATATCTCTCTCATTTCCATTGTGACTCGCTTAGTTCCAAGGACAACTTCTACTATATTCGTGACTGTGACAAAGACAAGCATCGTGCGACCACCGCGGACAGTGACTCAGCCGACGACCAGTACGGTAACCCGCATTGTGGGCGTTCCTGACACACCAGTGAATTCTGTAAGTTCCATCCTCAAAACCCTTTCTTCCGAACATCGGTTTTCTCTGAAGCAAAAGTGTTCAAATTGTGGCTAATCATTGTGTTATTGTAGACAGTGGTGGTGACGGCTTCTACCACCAAAAATGTGACAAATACCATCACCTTCCAGACGGAAACAACAGTAGCCACCGTCACAAACACACAGCTCAATTACACAGCTACCAGATCGACATATCTCGCTTGTGCAAGCAATAACCTACTCGGACCTCGAATCCAGGACCGCAGCTACATCAGCAAGGTGGTTGACAACACGCGGTCCAACATCGGGACAAGCACCAACGCGACCTCGAGCTACGAGTGCTGCACCATATGCCAGGACGTTGACGGCTTCTGCGACTTCGCCTACTACGACACGAAGGCCGACGTGGCAGGGAACAACTGCCTGCTCTTCAAGGCAAACACACCAAAGAAGGGGGCCGGCAGTGCCACGTGCGCCCATGACCAGGCCGGCTTCTACAACACCAACAACAGAACGGAAAACAGATGGGTCGTCATGAACGGGCCGTGTGGCCAGCTGGTGCATGGGAACCCCAACAAGTAAGAGCCTACCGACGACTCTCGTGCCCCACATGATAATGCACTACTATATACTCGGTATATAGCCGGCTTGCTCTGGGCTATTAACTACGTAGCTGTCGTGGTGACGCGGGCAACCTGGACGAGTGCGGTAGAAGAGGATACGGCAGGAAGCGGAGGTCGAGTGCGAAGACAAGCTGAATACAATCAAAGGCTTACAAAAATTCTGGTCTTGTTCCTCATTTCACACAGAAGATCAATACTTA